TGCTGACACAGACAGGAAGTAGCTCACAGACCTATCAGAAAACTGTTCACTATATCAAGGAGAGGCTCAGTGTGAATCTGTCTGCAGAGAAAAGCATCAATCTGTTCCACTGTCTAAATGAACTGAATGATCGTTCTCTAGTGGAGGAGATCCAACAGTCCTTGAGATCAGGAAGTCTCTCCACAGATAAACTGTCTCCTGCTCAGTGGTCAGCTCTGGTCTTCATCTTACTGTCATCAGAAGAAGATCTGGATGAGTTTGACCTGAAGAAATACTCTTCTTCAGAGGAGGCTCTTCTGAGGCTGCTGCCAGTGGTCAAAGCCTCCAACAAAGCTCTGTAAGGAAATATGTGGTGATCCCTTTAGTTTTTAAATATTGTTTTGAATAGAAGAATAGGCTACCACAGATTTAAAAATATTTTAAAATTTTTAAAATCTGGTTATAGAAAGAGATTTCATTAAAGTTTTGGTTTTGTGTCTCACCTTCAGTGCAATCCCCCTCTCTCTCTCTATTGTTTTTCTTTTTAACACAAATCTCTGATACAACTGTCCTGATTGTATCCAGTATGGATAGAAAAACGTGGACTTCATAAATGAAATTGCCTCTAAGGTCCTGTTTCTTGTCAGTAACCATATCTAACTGTAAGGCTGCCATCACCAGCCTGTGTACATATTGCATTAGGTTTCCTGGTGATCTAAACTTTATGCGGGTGTGAGTTTGAATGGTTGTCTGTGTCTCTGTGAACTAAGGGGAAGAGACTGGTTAAAGAATTTACAGTAAGTTAGATTTAAGAAAGAGACCAACAGCACTTTACTAACTGTAGCACACTTTGTTTGTTTTTTGTTTTGTTTTTTTTAGGCTGAGCAGCTGTAACCTGTCAGAGAGCGGCTGTAAAGATTTGTTGTCAGTCGTCAGCTCCCAGTCCTGTAATCTGAGAGAGCTGGACCTGAGTACCAACAGCCTGAATGATTCAGCAGTAAAGTTTCTGTCTGCTTCAGTGAAGAGTCCACACGCCAAACTGAATGTTCTGAGGTCAGATCAATTTGTATTCTGTATTTGGTTTGTTTGTTTTTATCAACTGACAAAATTAAACAACTTTTATTCATTGTTCTTTCTTAGCATTTTTAGTCATTTCTGTGTTAAAGTGGAGTTTTACTAACCTGATCAGAAGAAGACAATAAGGATTCTTTAAAATACAGGATTAGTTATTGCACGCTGATTACACTTTAACAACAGTCTTTGTTCATGTTTTTATTTTCAGACTCAATGTCTGTCAACTCTCAGAGGAAAACTGTGAAGCTCTGTCCTTAGTTCTCAGCTCTCAGTCCTCTAGTATGAGAGAGCTGGAGCTGAGTATAAAAAACCTACAGGTTTCAGGATTGAAGATTCTGTTTGCTGGACTACAAAGTTTAAACTGTGAACTCAATACTTTGAGGTCAGATCAAAAGATAATTTGTTTTTTCAGAATTAACCAATTAAATGCATTTTATCCAAGTTCATCCATAAAATGTTATTGATTAGTATCTTAAGTTTTCCCTTAAGAAAAATTATCAAGACGGGATTTAATATTACACAATCTATTAACACACCTTACAGTATTGTTTCATTGATTGTCTTTTATTTCTCAGACTGAGTGGCTGTAACCTCTCAGATAGAAGCTTTGAAGTTCTGTCCTCAGTTCTCAGCTCCCAGTCCTCTAGTCTGAGAGAGTTGGACCTGAGTAACTCTGACCTGCTGGATTCAGGAGTGAAGCTTCTGTCTACTGGACTAAAGCGTTCACAGTGTACAGTGGAAACTCTCAGGTTAGGATTCAAACTTTTCCACAGATTATCATTTAAAATATTAATTATATTACTGCATTAACAGGTTATCTTTTTGAAGTGAACTTTAATTTACATCTGAGTGGATTATGTCTGTGAAGGTTCTCAGTCATCCAAGTCATCGTAGTCCAAGGAGCTTGAAAAGAAAAGTGTCTGGACTTCTTTAGGTTGCTTGAATACGTTTCACTTCTCATCCGAGAAGCTTCTTCAGTTCCAGGGTAAAATAGTGGAGAGTCCCAGATTTAAACCTCGTGGAAGTATCCCCACAAGGAGGGACAAAGGACCCCCTGATGATCCTCTACCTAATCACATGAGCAAAGGTGTGAAAATGGGTGTGGGTCACAATCAGCATAAGGTTTCGGATGAGCTCATTGTGAAACCTAGCCCCACCCTATCATGTGATTTGCTGAGGTCAGATTGCCCAGGGTGTGATTGGGCGGTAAGGCGTCTGGGAAGGGATCACAGAACTGGATTATAGATGGCAGACAGTTGTTGTCGTAACCCACCACCTCTGTTCAAAGATGGTTGCTCACAGTGGACATATCCACTGTGAGCAACCCGTTTTCACACATTGGCTCTCGTGATTAGGTAGAGAATCATTAGGGGGTCTATTGTCCCTCTTGGGGGGACACTCCCACAGGGTTTAAATCTGGGACTCTCCACCATTGGACCCTAGAACTGAAGAAGCTTCTCGGATGAGAGGTGAAACGTCTTCGAGCAACTTAAAGAAGTCAAGACGATTACAGCACCTCAGTCAGAAAATGGGGACACAACATCATCAAAGACCGCACCCACTCACAGCACATACTGTTCACACTCCTAGAGGAATGTGAAAGCAAGGACAACCAGATGAAAAAACAATTTCTATCCAAAGGCCATCAGGGTAGTGAATCACTGACTCATTGCTGAACTGTGAATATCTTAGACCTTTAAATTTGCGATTTTGAACATTTATATACAATATAATACAGCTTCATACAATAAAAAAAAAATTTAATATCACATATCCTGAATATCTACTAATGGGACAGTGTTGCCTAACTACTTGCACTGCAAATGCTACATAAGTTTGTTTATTATTTTCTATGCTCAGAGTTAAGTTTATTCTGTATATTAGTTAGTTGAATATCTAGTAGTGAAGGGAACTTGATTAGTAAGAATTTTATTGCTCTGCATAACCACTTGTGTTTTGCGGTGTATATAACAATAAAATTCTTGAATCCTGAATTTTAACATATGTGTAGGTTCAAGTTTTAGAGCTCTAAAGTGCAGATATCATGTTAGGAACATGTTAGGAATTGACAGTAACACTGAGCACGCAGTTCAAATCTTTATTTTTTACCACTCGCTGAATTCTTGATATTCATGAATTCAGCAGGTTAATGACTGTCTGCAGCATTAATCTCATATTTCCATCTAATGTGTTGAATTTGACTGTTTTATTTGATGTTCTTTATGATCTCTAGCACCAGTTCATCTGTAGGCCATGTTCAGTCCATCCATTTAGTGAAATGAGTGAATGATGTTTAAAGGTTTCAAGTTTCAGAGCTCATCACAGCACAGAAACAGCTTTAGTGAAGGTTACAAATGATCTTCTTATGGCCTCTGACAGTGGACTCATCTCTGTGCTTGTCCTG